AGTTTCAGCAGCGGCTGACTTGGGGACGCCTGGGGCAGAGCAGCTCCAATTGTCCGGCTGCCTGGAACACTTCCGGGTTCCAAATGGTGCTGGACCATCTGGAGTGCCGGACCATTGGATGCCGGGCCACTGGAGTTTTACTGTATTCCACTTACGAAGGTACAATCAATTTGTACATGTACAAAATTGGGAAATGACTACCTAAGGAGGAGTAATGCAGAAAGAGATCTGGGGTCATAGTGGACCACAAGCTAAATATGAGTCAACAGTATGTCACTTTCTAAAGAAAGCAAACATCATTGTGGGATGTATTAGCAGAAGTGTTGTAAGCAGGACATGAGAAGCAATTTTTCCGTTCTACTCTGTGCTGCTTAAACCACAGCTGGAGCATTGTGTCCAGTTATGAGTGCCATATTTCAGGAAAAACGGAGACAAATTAGAGAAGGTCCAGAGAAGAGCAACAAAAATAATTAAAGGTCTAGAAAACATGACCTGTGAGGGGCAAGTTGAAAAATTGGGTTTGTTTAAAAAAAGAAGACTGAGAAGGGACATAAGGTTCAAGTACCTAAATGGCTATTACAAGGAGGAGTGAGAGAAAGTATTCTTCTTAACTTGGACTAGAAACAATGGGCTTAAATTACAGCATGGAAAGTTTAGGTCGGACATTAGGAAGAACTTTGTCAGGGTAGTTAAGCACTGGAATAAATTGCCTTGGGAGGTGTGTAATCTCCATAATTGGAGATTTTTAAGGGCAGGTTAGACAAACATCTGTCGAGGATGGTCTAGATGGGCTTGGTACTGCCATGAACAAAGGGGACTGGACTGAGATGGACTTGATCTCTCAAGGTTCTTTCCAGTTCTATGATAGCAGGAGATACTCTTTGGTTGAAGTAGCTATTGCCACTCATTGTGGGTGGTTTCAGTATCTCAGTGGGAGAAATCTGTCCTTTCAGCAAGGAGCAGCTATACAGATTTAAAGCAGGGAATCTACATCTGTATAACTGTGTCACTGTAAGGTTTCTGATGTCAGATCCAAAACTCTCCCTGTAGCTATCAAGGCTGTTTCCCACTCTGGCACTTCAAGTGCAGAAGGTGGGGGCCCATAAGAGACTTTAAAAATACCTTGCTTCTATAGGCTTCTGCTTAAAAACTTCAAGGTCACAGATTCCCTGACCTTGGGTAATATGCTTCTCCCACCCAAGTGCAAAACCCCTTTTTCTGAACCCAGGAAAACTCACTTGGGAATTCTTCCTGTGGGGTACACACCCGAGCTCTCTCACCGTCCCTCAGGAAAAAGCTTGAAACAGTGTGATTTTTTTTTTTTTTTAAATAGCTGACCTATCAATCTCAGGCACATGCACACAGACTTTCCTGCTTTGTAGGACAGGAATCAGATCATAGCCTTAAATGCGATTTTATTAACAAAACAAACAAAAAATATATTTGATAAAGCATATTTAATTGCCAGGCGTTACAGAGCAACTGAGAAAACAGATTAAAACACAGAGAATTGCTTACCTATGATTCAGCTTCAGTTACAGTGTATAGGGGATGGAGGCTCATAGACTCAGCACAGAGGAATTTAACCAAACAACAAAACAAAGGAAAATAACCTGATCGCATTTAACTAAAACATTCTCTATCTGTTCACATATCTGTAGTTCCAAGGTTCAGTCCTTTTCTAGGAAGTGGGGAAATGGTATTCCTTTTCTAGGCATGGATATCCCTGCCTGGTTCAATTCATCTTTTTTCCCCAGCTCTTGGTTTGAACTCTCACAAAAGAACTGCAGCAGGTAGATTCCCTTTCAATTCAAATCTCAACACTTTCTGTCCATTGGTTCTCTTGACTCCTTGGCCACACTTCACCGATACCCACTGTTCTAGGTTTAACCCTTAAGTTACTGAATGCTGGGATGATCAGAAACGGGTAAAACCCCTCCCATCCATCACAGTAGTAAATGGGAATTTTGGCTAAATAAAACTTGTTCTTGGAAATATTATGTTTTTGTGGAACAGTGATAGAGATGCAGCCATGTTAGTCTGGTCTAGCTGAAACAAAAGACAGGACTGTGCAGCACTTTAAAGACTAACAAGATGGTTTATTAGGTGATGAGCTTTCCTAGTCCTGTCTCATGTTTTTGTGGGACGCATAAAGTCTTTAAAGTTTTAAATGACTTCCCTCCTGGAAGAGGAGCCTCCTGCATGGAATTATGTAATTCATAGAATCATAGAATCATAGAATAATAGGACTGGAAGGGACCTCGAGAGGTCATCGAGTCCAGCCCCCCGCCCTCAAGGCAGGCTCAAGCTCCGTCTACACCATCCCTGACAGATGTCTATCTAACCTGTTCTTAAATATCTCCAGAGAGGGAGATTCCCCCACCTCCCTTGGCAATTTATTCCAATATTTGCCCACCCTGACAGTTAGGAATTTTTTCCTAATGTCCGATCTAAACCTCCCTTGCTGCACTTTAAGCCCATTACTCCTTGTCCTGTCCTCAGAAACCAAGAGGAACAAATTTTCTCCTTCCTCCTTGTGACACCCTTTTAGATATTTGAAAACTGCTATCATGTCCCCCCTTAATCTTCTTTTTTCCAAACTAAACAAGCCCAGTTCATGAAGCCTGGCTTCATAGGTCACGTTCTCTAAACCTTTAATCATTCTTGTCGCTCTTCTCTATACCCTTTCCAATTTCTCCACATCTTTCTTGAAATGTGGCGCCCAGAACTGGACACAGTACTCCAGCTGAGGCCTAACTAGTGCAGAGTAGAGCGGCAGAATGACTTCACGAGTTTTGCTTACAACACACCTGTTGATACAACCTAGAATCATATTTGCTTTTTTTGCAACAGCATCACACTGTTGACTCATATTCAACTTGTGGTCCACTAGCTGAAAAACACTTGTTTGATGTTGAAATTCCCATGTATATAGGGATTCTGGAAGAAAGATTTTCTCTTCAAAACAGTTATCCTCCTGAGAGCTTTATGGGAGGGGGGTCTCTCTGTGGATATCTTGTAACCATGGCCATATTTATAAGTTCTTATCTGCTAATTTATTGAATGAGATTCTAGGGTCAGAGTTTAGTTGAGAATATTACTTCGTCTAAAGCGATATGGCCATAAAGGCAGCAATCAGACATCTTTTTTATGTTGGAATTCATTATCTATTAGTCCTTACTGGATTCTGAGAATTATTTATGCTGTAGGATAGTTGACAGAACTGAAACTTGGCATTGATGCTGCTGAGGCTTCAGAATTCCAATCTGTGGTTCTCTATCTGCCTGTTTCCTGGTTCCTTTGAAAGACCCTGCAACAAAATCTACAGGACTTTCATTCAGTGATTATACTGATTTGTTGTCTAATTTGGGTATCTTGAAATTATGCATTATGTCTTTTGGGCTGCTCTAGAACCTTTTGGATAATCTGTTAAAGATTTCCCATCTTTTCAGGCTGATATTTTCAATTGACTCTATTGAGGGTGATCTGAGTGGGTTTTTTTTTTTTTTATGCATAATTTCCTTGGTCTTGGAAACGCCACTCACTTTCTTTCCACTTGGAATTATAAATCTTCTGCAGCCCACCTGTGAGATGGGTGTGGACCGTCTGTGAACCACACTTTGAGAACCACTACTCTAGGATTGCACAAAATATATTTACATTATAACAGGGAAAATATATTGCACAAAATATATTTACATTATAACAGGGAAAAGAGAAGAAAATGATTCTAGTGAAATAAGATAGCAGACATGGAAACATAGACAATATTTTATTAAAAATGTATTTTATAAGGTAACTGAGGAGACACTGAAGATGATTTTAGAGCAATCTGTATTTAGTGTCACAAAATGCCTAAATCGCTGCAATCAGGATATCTGTGCATGTGATCAGATAAAATGAGCTATATACAAGTACTGCTGAGTCCTTCCTCCTTCAAATCTAAAAGTCATTTCCTTCTCTAAACTGAGTTTGTGTGAGGCCTGTCACCAAGGACCGCTGGCCATCCCATTGTCAGTGAAAATAAATGATCAGGTAAGATGAAGAGTATTGTTTTTTCAGGAAAATTTCAACCAACAGTTAAGTCCCTGTTTAAGAGAATATTTTGAAGTCCGCATCTGGGGAGAGTTAAGATAAGGAGATTATTGTAAATATAGAATCAAACTTATTGCTAGAGCACTGATGGAAAATGTGAATTATGCTGAGATGAATGAATGAATGAAGGTTAATTATTTTATTTGTATTTGTATCTTTTTAAATTTTGTTTTTTATCTCTATTAAACAGCATGAGACAGAAAGAAGTAAGAAAACTACTGGTATTTCTAGAGTTCAACCAGAACTACGTTCACAAATACAACCCTCTTGTACAGATTCAGAACCTCCCAAGAAAGATGCTTTTACTTCCACAGAAGCTTATGAAGAGCTACTAAATCAGAGACGACTGGAGGAGGATCGGTATCGCAAACTAGATGATGAAGCTGAACTGAGAGAGAGACTGTTGCCCAAAAGACTTGATGAAGAACTGGACATTTCCAATAGAAAGCATCGCAGATTTGATAGCAAACGTGATATTTCTCCTAGAAGACATCACAGATTTGATGAGGATCATGATTTTGATAGAAGATACCACAAATTAGACTATGATCCTGAAATAAATGAGGAAATGGACCCTAGATTTAGATATGAAAGTGACTATGACAAAAAACCTCTGAGAGTGTTCCATGCTGAAAGGTATTTTAAGGTCATTTTCCACTTCATTTCTTTATTTCCTTAATCTATTTCTTATGGGGTTATAGCACTAAAAATGATGAGTTTTTCAAAGATAGGAGATTATGCTTTAATGGCATTGAACATGAGATTTGAAATACCGGTTGGACCTCTTTTGTCCAGAACCCTCAGGATCTGACTGGTCCCAGATGAGGGAATTTGCTGGACAATGAGAGGTCCCCTGACACCAGCTCCTGAGCTTGCTGTCCCTCCCAGATGCCGGCTCCCTGCTAGACTGTCTGCAGGCTAGCCCCAACCCCGGCTCTGCTGCCAGGCGGGCAGCATGAGGCTCCAGGTCCAGCTCCATTGCCAAATGGCACACTGCTCAATTGGCCAGCTGAAGTCCCAACACCCCTGCTGGGCAGCGTGTGGACCTGGCTGCGCTGATTCTGCTGGGTGCTGCAGCTGGCTTCCCCTCCCGTGCTGCTGCAGCCATAGCCCTGGGCGGCAGGCAGCCCCAATCATACTGCTACCACTGATGCCGCCACCCAGGCTGATGCGGCCTGGCCAGGCTTCCCCTCTTGGGCTGCTGTCCTGATTACACTCTGCCCAGGCTGCTGTGGCCTCTGCTGCTAGCAGATTTGCAGGGTTGTATTGGGCTCCCAGCTGCTGGCCCTCATGCTCTGGGTCTCTCTTCCACGGATGTTGCTGGAGCAGAGAATCCTGGATTTGGGAGGTGCAATGTATACTTTAGACTTCCTTGAATCAGGTTCAAACTCTAGAACAGTTGGCTCTGTTGTGGATCCTTTTGAGGCTGATAAGTTGAATGATTGTATCTTTTAAATAAGACTTGGAAAAAATGAGCATCCCTGGTGGATGTTAGATCCTGTGGCTTTTACCCTAAAATGAAGGCAAACTTGACCAAAAATTTCCTTTTCCCTGCTGTTGTACTGTGTGTCCTGTGACTCTTTGCCCGACTCTTGTTTCTGTGCTAGGGGACAGATCCTTAGCTGATGTAAATTGTTCTGGGTCAGAATGTATCTCTGACAGTTTACATCAGCTGAGGATCTATCCCAGGAGTAAGCATTTCACCCAAGCTGTGAGTATGTGGTTTATAAGTCGTTTTGAAATCTTTCCGCATAAAAAGTGCTTTACAGGTATAAAATACCATCATTAATAGTTGGTACACAGAATGCATGAACTTAACATCTAATGAGGTGATAATTGCATGACATTCAGGTGTCACTTTTGGGGTCAAAAGGAAATATTTTATAAACTCTTCTTAATTTGAATAATTAAAATTATGTACTGTTCAGTGAGAAACAGATATGAAAGTTCTTCATATTCAACTCTCAGAATTAATGAGGAACTTAAATACTCCAATAAATAAGATGGCATTTAAATTAAATCTTAAGTTAGTCAGATAACTAATTTAGGCAATTTATGCATATTAGTTAAGGTTTTTAATTGAAACCACAAGTTCTAAATGAATTTCTTCATGAATAATATTCACTTAGCTCAGTTAGCTGTGCTTTGTTCTTACATTTCTTTTTGTTTTATTCTATATAGGTTTTTATACTGACATCATAATAGTATTTGAGCACCTTCCATAGCCCATGAAGTAACATGATTAGCTGGGCTGTCCCGCTGCCCCCGTGCTCCGTGGCTTTGCTCCGGACACCTGTGGTACAGCAGCTGGGGCGCTGCCAGTTGGTCCCATAGCGCCGCTCTGGGTGCTACTGGACCAACCGGGCAGCACCCCAGCTGTTCTGCCCCAGGCGTCCTGATTCAGCCACTGCTGGTCAGATTCAGCAGCGGCTGAATCAGGACGCCTGGGGCAGAGCAGCTTGGGTGCTGCTGGGTTGGTCCAGTAGTGCCGAGGAGCGGCGGCGCTACTGGACCAACCCAGCAGCACCCCAGCTGCTCTGCCCCACGTGTCCCCAAGTCAGCCGCTGCTGGACCCGACCCGTGGGTGGGCGGCG